GCAGGGTGCAGAGGGCAGGGCAGGGTGCAGAGGGCAGGGCAGGGTGCAGAGGGCAGGGCAGGGTGCAGAGGGCAGGGCAGGGTGCAGAGGGCAGGGCAGGGTGCAGAGGGCAGGGCAGGGTGCAGAGGGCAGGGCAGGGTGCAGAGGGCAGGGCAGGGTGCAGAGGGCAGGGCAGGGTGCAGAGGGCAGGGCAGGGTGCAGAGGGCAGGGCAGGGTGCAGAGGGCAGGGCAGGGTGCAGAGGGCAGGGCAGGGTGCCGAGGGCAGGGCAGGGTGCCGAGGGCAGGGCAGGGTGCCGAGGGCAGGGCAGGGTGCCGAGGGCAGGGCAGGGTGCCGAGGGCAGGGCAGGGTGCCGAGGGCAGGGCAGGGTGCCGAGGGCAGGGCAGGGTGCCGAGGGCAGGGCAGGGTGCCGAGGGCAGGGCAGGGTGCCGAGGGCAGGGCAGGGTGCCGAGGGCAGGGCAGGGTGCCGAGGGCAGGGCAGGGTGCGAGGGCAGGGCAGGGTGCAGAGGGCAGGGCAGGGTGCAGAGGGCAGGGCAGGGTGCAGAGGGCAGGGCAGGGTGCAGAGGGCAGGGCAGGGTGCAGAGGGCAGGGCAGGGTGCAGAGGGCAGGGCAGGGTGCAGAGGGCAGGGCAGGGTGCAGAGGGCAGGGCAGGGTGCAGAGGGCAGGGCAGGGTGCAGAGGGCAGGGCAGGGTGCAGAGGGCAGGGCAGGGTGCAGAGGGCAGGGCAGGGTGCAGAGGGCAGGGCAGGGTGCAGAGGGCAGGGCAGGGTGCAGAGGGCAGGGCAGGGTGCAGAGGGCAGGGCAGGGTGCAGAGGGCAGGGCAGGGTGCAGAGGGCAGGGCAGGGTGCAGAGGGCAGGGCAGGGTGCAGAGGGCAGGGCAGGGTGCAGAGGGCAGGGCAGGGTGCAGAGGGCAGGGCAGGGTGCAGAGGGCAGGGCAGGGTGCAGAGGGCAGGGCAGGGTGCAGAGGGCAGGGCAGGGTGCAGAGGGCAGGGCAGGGTGCAGAGGGCAGGGCAGGGTGCAGAGGGCAGGGCAGGGTGCAGAGGGCAGGGCAGGGTGCAGAGGGCAGGGCAGGGTGCAGAGGGCAGGGCAGGGTGCAGAGGGCAGGGCAGGGTGCAGAGGGCAGGGCAGGGTGCAGAGGGCAGGGCAGGGTGCAGAGGGCAGGGCAGGGTGCAGAGGGCAGGGCAGGGTGCAGAGGGCAGGGCAGGGTGCAGAGGGCAGGGCAGGGTGCCGAGGGCAGGGCAGGGTGCCGAGGGCAGGGCAGGGTGCAGAGGGCAGGGCAGGGTGCCGAGGGCAGGGCAGGGTGCAGAGGGCAGGGCAGGGTGCAGAGGGCAGGGCAGGGTGCAGAGGGCAGGGCAGGGTGCAGAGGGCAGGGCAGGGTGCAGAGGGCAGGGCAGGGTGCAGAGGGCAGGGCAGGGTGCAGAGGGCAGGGCAGGGTGCAGAGGGCAGGGCAGGGTGCAGAGGGCAGGGCAGGGTGCAGAGGGCAGGGCAGGGTGCAGAGGGCAGGGCAGGGTGCAGAGGGCAGGGCAGGGTGCAGAGGGCAGGGCAGGGTGCAGAGGGCAGGGCAGGGTGCAGAGGGCAGGGCAGGGTGCAGAGGGCAGGGCAGGGTGCAGAGGGCAGGGCAGGGTGCAGAGGGCAGGGCAGGGTGCAGAGGGCAGGGCAGGGTGCAGAGGGCAGGGCAGGGTGCAGAGGGCAGGGCAGGGTGCAGAGGGCAGGGCAGGGTGCAGAGAGAGTAGAGGGCAGAGGGCTGAGGGCAGAGAGCAGAGGGCAGAGGAAAGCTAACCCGTACTCTCTCTCTCGCTCTATCCTCCTGTCCCCAAATGTCAGCGGCGTTTTTCAGAGACTACCAGAAGGCATGGGGAAAGACGTTCCCAGGCTGGGCCGTGGGTGCTGAATGTAGCGCGAAAGCACTCGCCTGCGACGATTCAGGCATGATTACCAGGATGTAAGTGTGATTATCAGGATGTAAGTGTGATTATCAGGATGTATGTGTGATTATCAGGACGTATGTGTGATTATCAGGATGTAAGTGTGATTATCAGGATGTAAGTGTGATTATCAGGATGTAAGTGTGATTATCAGGATGTATGTGTGATTATCAGGATGTATGTGTGATTATCAGGATGTAAGTGTGATTATCAGGATGTATGTGTGATTATCAGGATGTAAGTGTGATTATCAGGATGTATGTGTGATTATCAGGATGTTCGTGTGATTTTCAGGATGTAAGTGTGACATTTTTCCGTCAAGGATGGATTTGACTCCACACTAGCTGCTAGTGTTCTGCACTCTTTCTTTGATTGATTTCTGCGTGTGCTAGTGGGATTTGCACATTGTTTTCCAGTTTGCAAGTGACACCGTCCAATTTCCTCAACTCCTCCGTGCTTTCATTCAACCCGCCCACCCACCCACCCCACATAGAACTTTGTCGGCGAATCTGAATGGGTCTATTCCTGACAGCATCTCCTCTCTCACTCAACTATGTGAATTGTAAGAACCTTAAAATGAAGCTACGAGCTCGCCTTCTTGTATGCTGAGCTATTTGAATTACAGCGGCTGTATGAAATCCCAACGCCGACATTTTTTACCCTTTTTTTTCAGTCAGTTCTCTCTCTTTTTTTTTCAGACGTCTTCTTCCATCGGAGTGTCCTCAGTCCATGCCCACCATTCTAATTTCCTAACTTCGTTTATTCGCCCCAACCCGCCCACGCACACAGGACTCTTTCAAACAACAATTTGACAGGCTCTATTCCCAACGGCTTCGCCAAGCTTACCGATCTCACCTTACTGTATGAAGCACCTCATTTCACCCTGGTGGTACGCGTGGTCATTTTTTTTGATCACATGACTTTCTAAACCCTCAAGAAAATATCCTTAGTCGCATAACCTAGATGCCACACGTTAGGGTGAGCAAGGGCCGGACAGGTAGATTGGTGAGCAAGGGCCGGACAGGTAGATTGGTGGCCCTTTTCGCCCATATACAGAGCGGGCCGGTTCGTGTCCGGCCCGGCACATAATCAGGGGGGGGGGTGAGGGGGTCCAATTATGAACTTCAATATATACCCATGATTGAACCGGAAATAACCGCAGAACTGGTAAATATTCGGTTTCCATAAGTGTGGACCGTTTGTTATAGAACTCTGGTCACAAAAAAAGGTCTCAATCATGGTCACAAGCCGAATGGACCTTCAATTAACTTTTGCCATAAATGCGGTTAAAAGCAGCTTTCCCCATAAAATGGTTTTGGTTCCTTATAGCGAAGTTCTTCACAGTACTGCTGGTTAATGTATTAACAATGAGATAAAAGGTCGTTTTTAACTCTGCTCCACCATGCTCGTCTCATCTCATCCTTCAATTGGGTCCACCCTGTGTGCTTCCTGTCATTCGGTCGGTGCCCACTATTCTCATCTCCTCACTATTTCCACGCCGTCCCATTACACACACACACAGGTCTCTTTCTCACAACGCTCTGACAGGATCCATTCCGAAAAGCATTTACCAGCTCCCTGTGCTCAATCATCTGTATGATGCTCCTCGTTTGAGTCTGGTGCTTAGCATGCATGGTGAAAGATCACAAGTTCAAGCTTTGGCTTCTGCCTACACTACCTCCCACCATGCTCATCTCATCCCCCAATTTGGACGAACATGTGTGCTTGCTGTCCCTCATTCCCTCGATTTTTAACTGCTCATACCATCACGCACACACAGGTCTCTTTCATACAACAGGTTGACGGGCTCCATTCCCACTGACATCCGTACTTTGAGTACGGTTCTCACGTATCTGTATGATGCACCTATGCCATCCCCCAATTGGGGTTGACCTTGTGTGCTTGCTGTCCTTCATTCCATGCTCACTCTTCTTATCTCCTCACTTCCTCCACCCTGACCCGTACCACACGCACACAGGTCTCTTTCACACAACAATTTGTCGGGCACCATTCCCAGCGACATAGTCATGCTTGGTCAGCTTAATTACCTGTATAAAGCACCTCATTCAATGCTGGGCCTAAGCACGCACGATGAGTGGTGACACCTTGAGTGTGCCGTGTAGGTGTTTCAATTCCATCAATCGGAAGGCCCTTCATATTGTCTGGTTTGAAGGGTTGCGTGCATTTCAAGCCATAGCCCCCTGATGAATATTTTCCGTAACTGCTGCTGCAATAGTTGCTTCTTGTCTGCTCTAGGGTTAAAAAAATCTCATTGAAGCAGGGGTTACAGAAAGTATGCATGAGGGGCTATGGCTTGAATGCGTGCGCCTGTTTCCTGATTTGGCGCACGAACTCAATGGGGTGGGGATCGTGTCAAAACCAGCTCGTCAATCTGCACGCTGGTTTATATTTCAAATGAGGATGTCTATTTCGGGTTTAGGGTTTAGGGTCAACCTTGGTGATCCAACATCTCTCCAAGATCCTAAACCACACATGCGCTTATTATGATGGGGTGCTAGTAACATTAGGTGTAACGGTAGGGAAATATATGGAAGGACAGCCTTTCAATAAGGTTAGACAGTCAAAGTAGGAATTAGGAGCATATGTTGGGATTTGGAGGGGAAGGTGATGTGAGATATGAACGTTAGGTTAGACGAAACCTAACGTTGTACAAAATCAACTTGGGTAACGAGTGTGGGGTTGAACATGCTCTTGTCATCCCCCAGTTAGGTCGACCGCGTATGTTTTCTGTTGCTCCATCCATGCCCACTAATCTCATCTCCCCACTTTTTATGTTCCAACCCAAATCACGCGCACGCAGGTCTCTTTCAAACAACGCTCTGACTGGATCTGTTCCAGAAAATATTTACTGGCTTTCTGAACTCTCTTATCTGTATGAAGCTCCTCTTCTGAGCTTGGTGATAATCATGCATGGTAATAAAGCACATTACCTCTTAAATACTTGATATAATATCCTTGATCACATAAACCAGGTGCCACTCGCAAGCAAAAATCTAAAAGTTTCAGGTATTTGATCGGAATGTATAAGTCAAGCTGGTCTGAGTTCGCATCTTTGCTCATGCTACCCTCCCACCGTGCTCATCTCATCCCCCAATTGGGTCGACCATGTGTGCATGCTGTCCCTCACTCCATGCCCTCAATTCCCATCTCCTCACTCCGCTTCAATCTTTACCACGCACGCAAACACAGGTCGCTTGCATACAACTCCTTCATTGGCTCCGTTTCCAGCGACATCTACGAGATTATTGGCCTCACTTATCTGTATGAAGTGCCGTGTTTAGGCCTAATTAATAGCAAGCATGATGATACATCACTCCAAAACCTTCAGGAGATCACGGAGTTTGAAGTAATCAAGTTGTAGGGGGGCGCGCCATTGCCAGCCAAGCCAGGCTGAGTATTCCGCAATCTCTTCCTGGACGCTCCCCCTTCAGGCTAAGTGTTCCAGCCCAGTCTCGATGATAACTGGGTGTGCAACTCGGACCAGTTCGGAGAGCCCAACATCAGCCCGTTCACCTTGAACCGAACTGCGCTTCAGTTTTGAATCCTCCCTATCTCCCAGCATGCTCGTGTCACCCCCCAATTGGGTGAACCGTTTGTGCGTTCTGTCACTCAGACCGTGCCCTTTATTCTCATCTCGTTACTAACCCAATTTATACTACAAACACACAGGTCTCTTTCAAACAACAAGTTTACAGGCTCCATTCCCAGCAACATATTCACGCTTCCTCACCTCACTTATCTGTATGAGGCACCTCCTTTAAGCCTGGGGAGCTAGGCTTGAGCAGTTGGGCTGGGCAAACCTGGTTTCGCCCTGTTCAGACCGGCCCGAAAGTGCCCCGAGCCAATCCTGTAAGTTGGGGCTGACAGCCCGGGGCGGGCCGAGCCTTCCCGGCCCGCCGAACCTGCGGCGACCCGCTTTTGGCCCGCGGGGTTATGGGCAGGCCGGACCGGCCCGGTGCAAGGCGCGGCCTTGGGTGGGCCTTTTTGGCTGATTTTGACCCCCGCAATATTTGTCGTGGGGGTCCATTATGAGCTGTGTGACAACTTGTTGGAGCCTATTTGCGCGTTTGGGTTCGGGTCAAACACCTGTATTCTGAAACCAAAGTTGAGAACGCGTTCGGTTTAAGCAATACAAACGTTTGAGTGAGTTTGAGACAAGTTAGTTTGACTTCGCGGTTTGCTCCTGCTACCTCCCACTATGCTCATCTCTTCCCTTGATTGGGTTGACCGTGTGTGCTTGCTATTCCTCAATCCATGCCCTCGATTTTCATCTCCTCACTTATTCCGCCCCAACCCATACCTACACACACAGGTCTTTTTCAGACAACGCTTTGACGGGCTCCATTCCCAGTCAGGTTTACGGGCTCAGTGGGCTCACATATCTGTATGAAGCACGTTGTTTAAGCCTGATGCGAAGCATGTGTCGTCAAAGATCACATGTTTATCAGCAGATTTGACTTTCATTCTGTTACCTTGAATTTCCATGTAAGGAATTCGAACGTGGAAACTCAAGCGACATTGGCGAAGCTGGTTACCAGCAGAAGATCGACATGTTTTCTGAAACGAACTTTAATTTAAGTTTCAACACTCCCTTATCCCTTTCCCTCAAATCTCATCTCCTCATTCTTTTCGACCCAACCCAAACCATGCACTCACAGGTCTCTTTCGAACAACATGTTGATGGGCTCCATTCCCAGCACAATCTTCGCGCTTCCTCAGCTCGCTTATCTGTATGAGGCACCTCGTTTGAAGCTGGGGCTAAGCACATGCGGCACAATTAGTGGTGACATCTAGAGTGGCCTGTGTAGGGGTTTCAACTTCAGTTAAAAGTTCCTTCATATCGTCTGTTTTTTTGGGCTGACTAACTACATGTTTGGACCCGTTTGCCTCGACCCAAAATCTGACTCGTGTTTCGATTGTGGCTGCCTCCCACCATGCTCGTCTCATCTCATTCCTCAATTGGGTCAATAGCACGTTTTGCTGCCCCTCAGGAAATGCCCAATTTTCTCATCTCCTCACTTCTTCCAGTCCCAACCCACACCACAAACAGGTCGTTTTTCAACAACAGATTGACGGGCTCCATTCCCAACAGCATCTCCGTGCTTACCCAGCTTACTTACCTGTATGAAGCACCTCGTTTCACCCTGGTGTGGTGATAAGCACGAACATGATAAGAAAGCGCAATAATCCTAAAACCCTCAAGAATACATCCTAGGTTGCATAACGTAGGTGTCATGTACAAGCAAGACAACAAGGATTCCTGGGTAGAAAAAATCATATATGAGGGGGAAATTCTGGAAGACAAACCAAGACTGGATATCCTGCAACTCCTCAACCAAGCCTTCCCCCTCCCAGGACGAATTTGTCACACCCAAACGCGTAGAAGCGGGTGTGCGACTCGAACCAGTCTGGCTAATTCGAGTCAAAATTAAACCGGTTCGCCTCGAACAATGCGATTAGGTTTCTACTCATACCTGCCTCCTCCCGTTCTCATCCGATCCTCAAACAAGTGACTGTTTGTATGTGCTTGCTGTCCCTCAGTCCGTGCACACTGTTCTCGTCTCCTCACTTCCTCCACCCCATCCCATACCATACACACGCGCAGGTCTCTTTCAAACAACTATTTGACGGGCTCCATTCCCCATGGCATCTCCGTGCTGGTGCAGCTCACTGACCTGTATGAAGCACCTCGTAGCCATGAGCACGCCGTACGCATGAGCAACTGGCGAACATGTTCGAGCTCTCCTTGCCTCGAACATGCGTGTTCATCAATGTTGTGTTTTTGGAATCTGTGAAAGATGGCGCCCCCTGGTCCGGCTAGGGGCACGACAGTGAGGAGTGTTGCGCTGCTCTGCACCGGGTTGGCTCGCGTTTCCTTCTGCTTGGAAGCTTTGAAACCCGGTGCACTACGTCGCACTTATGCGCACCAAAGCGATCGAATTTGCCGCAATCCAGCACTTCGCCCCAAGCACGATGAGTGGTTGCTCACCTAGAGTGGGCCGTGTACGGGCTTCATTTCCAATCGATTAGTTTTCCAATCATATCGTGAAGGGCTGCTTGCGTCGCATGCCACAACCCCCACGGTTGCTTCTACTCGGTTTTAGCATTGAAATGAACGTCACTGAAGCTAATGGCCAGCCAGCATTAAGTCGTCTTGCTCTTTCCTCTCGTCATCTCCCTCTCCCTCACCTTGTATGTTCTGCTTTCCGTGGTCCATCAGGCGTATGCATGGGAATCGCTTGATTGGATCTCTTCCATCCTTTCTCAGCCGCTTGATCAACCTGGTGAACCTGTAAGTATCATAACTTCAGTACTAGGCTATCCCAGCTAGCATTGGCTTCTTGAGATCACTGGGAGAGCCTACTAGACGGCTGTTCATCATTAACATCACTGCGTTGCTGTGTTGATACAATCTTGAAACTCACGACTTGTCTGCTGTGCGGTGCGGTCATGCCATCCATCCATGTTCACCGATCCATTTTCCTCGCAACTAGGGATGAGCAAAGATCCGAACACCTGTTCGGTTCGCCTCGAACACGTTCGAGGCGAACCGAACAGGTTTAGATTTTTAGCTTAAATCGTTCGCCGAACACTGTTCGATGTTCGGCCGAACATGTTCGTGTTCGTGGCGCTGCTGCAGAATGCCCCGTGTCGAACACGAACGTGTTCGAGGTTCGCCCGAACACGCCTTCACAGGTGAACACCGAACAGTGTTCGTTTCGCCGAACGGCCATGTTCGTCCAAGGGCGAACGCGAACATGTTCGAGTTCGCCCTTTGCTCATCCCTACTCGCAACCACCATGCTCCTAGACTTAGCCCCACCTCCCAGCAGCTATTTCCATCTCTTTCTCTTTCCCCCTACACAATCCCTACTTTCATTTACCAATGCTTCCTCCTTTTGCTCTAATGCTGTTCGTTCACCTCACCTACACTATGCTCCCAACATAGCTCCCCACCTGTTTGAATCCTGGCTTGTCTGTAAGATCAGGAAGTTAAATCTATTCATAGGATCTATTCATAGAAAGAAGAGCATACATAGGATGCCAAGAGAGAAGTGGAAGGGAAGGAGGTGGTTGGGAGGGGCTTTGGTGGTTGGAATGGTCAACCACAATAGGTTTTTATATGTGTTGGGTAGGCCAATAATACTGTTGGGATCAATGTGTTGGAATGACCACCGATCACCTGAATGCCTGTGTTGGCGGTTCCACCACAAGTGGGTGAATAGGCATCTTACCACAAATGTATACCCAAATTGGGATATGTGCTACCATATAATCTAACACCATCACATTCCCTTGGGCTGCTTGCATGTGCTTCTTGACTGTCCTGCCATGCCTGCTATTCTAATCTCTCCAATTCCTTCAACCCACAACACACAACACACAGGGATCTCTCATCCAACTCACTGAGTGGTCCCATGTTCACCAACTTCGCCTTCCTTGATGGCCTCACCTATCTGTACGACGCTCGCTAGAATCATTGTTCCATGTGCCGGGCCATGGCCGCACTGCGCTCTTAATGTGCCAAGCCTGCACCACGCTCTCATCTCATGTGCCGAGCCTGCACCACGCTCTCATCTCATGTGCCGAGCCTGCACCACGCTCTCACCTCATGTGCCGAGCCTGCACCACGCTCTCACCTCATGTGCCGAGCCTGCACCACGCTCTCATCTCATGTGCCGAGCCTGCACCACGCTCTCATCTCATGTGCCAAACCTGCGCTGCGCTCTCAGCCATCAACTCACTTGCATCATTGATGTGTGGCCCTATGCAGGCTTCCCAACTCAGTTGCTGTTCCAAAGCATGCTGGGATGTGCTGTGACTAGCTCAATGGTGCACTGCACCTTATACTTGCTGACGTGCATGGATTGTTTCTCTAGATCTTGCCTCTAGAGAGATCTCCCCCTTCCCATCGTATTGGATACCATACCAACATGTCATTACAGTCTCTTGGGATGGATGCACGCATTGGAAACTGCCAGGTTCATCCATCTCATGCATGCAGCAGTGAACGATGGATGCATGCCTTCATGTGAATTGATGGATGCATGCCCTCATGTGAATGAGTGGATCCATGTCGCTGCGTTCCTGCATGCATGAGGCTAACAGGGCTTACTCCCACACTTTCCGTCCAACCCATGTGAGCAGAAACCTCTTCGCTAATAACCTCAGCGGGGAGATCCCACCCGAGATTGGGAGCCTCACTTCTTTGAAGTACTTGTGAGTAGGCTTGAGCAAGTACCAACATGAACCAGACTTGTAACTTGTGAATACGCATGAGCAAGCACTGAACCTGAATCTGACCTGAAACTTCTGAAGTGCCTTGAGCAAGTGCCGGATCCGAAATGAGCTGTAAGCAGAGTGTGAGAGGCTGATCTAATGCCGCAATGAAAGATCATGGTTGGCGCAAGGAGAGCACTCTTGCAAGAGTTACAATGGCTTGCAACTTCTGCCAGGTTGGTGGCAATGTCTCGACGATGCCCCTCCTAGCCACCATCCCCATGCCGTTCCCACCTTGAGAAGTAATTAGCCTACCATCATTTTGGTCGAACTTGGAAAAAAATGTCTGTGCAGCTGTGCCCATGATTCCGCCTCTTCATCTCCCCCTTTTCCACTTCAGAAACATCTCTGGCACCAACCTCACATGCCCACCTGACGGCTCTGCCTGTGGCGTTACACAATTGCCTACCACATCCTTTTGTCGCACGTGTAATCCCTTCTGCAACACTTGCACCAACCAGTCTGCAGGCGAGTATATTAAGCCAGCAGGTATGATTCCCAAACTGAATGCAATGAGACACGACATGATGCACATGATGCATGCAATGAGACTGTTGTTCCAGAGATATATGATTTTGGAAACAATCACGTTATAGCAAGCGGTGCATGGGAATGCTTGGTTGGCAACGCATGTGAATGCATGGTAATGCATGGGAATGTTTGGCAACGCATGGGAATGCAAGGCAGCGCATGGGAGTGTGCATGGTAGCACGTGGGAATGCATGTCAGCACATGGGAATGCATGACAGCACATGGGAGTGCATGGCAGCGCATGGGAGTGCATGGCAGCGCATGGGAGTGCATGGCAGCGCATGGGACGGCACAAGTCATGTTAAGAAAAATCACCCCTCGCTTGCTATCTCTGTTTATGACCAAATTGCAGCAATTCCCACTGTGTGCTTAAATCCATGCTCATGTCATTTGCAGAAATCAGCAGCAGCAGCATCAGCAGCAGCATCAACGAGTCTTCTTCAGCAGGAGGTGGAGGTGGAGTGTCAGTGGGAGTCATCGTTGGCAGTGTTGTTGCTGCTGTGGTCATTCTCCTGCTTCTGGGCGCCACTCTGCTGTACTTCCGGCAGAAGAAGAGTAGGTGCCCTGATTAACCAGACTATATTCTGAGGCACTTGTGTGTGGCTGTTTGCATCCATCACGTTCAGTGGGGAACAAGGTTTTCAGCATCAGCAGCATCAGCAGCAGCCTGACAGCCTCGTACTGCTTGGAGAGTTCTCACTGGCAGAGGTCATCAAGGCCACCAATGACTGGTCCCCCGACTTCCCTTGCACCCATGTGCCTTCTTTCACCCCTCACACCCCGAGCAGGCACCGGCAGTAGCCTGATAGCCTCGCACTGCACGGAATTCCCTCTGGCAGAGGTCGTCAAGGCCACCAACAACTGGTCCCCGAAGTTCCCTTGAGAATTCTCAAATGTACCCGTGTACCTTCTTTCACCCATGACTCCCCGAGCAGGCACTGTCAGCACCCTGGCAGCCTCGAACTGCACGGAGTTCTCGCTGGCAGAGGTTGTCGAGGCCACCAACGACTGGTCCAAGGACAACCAGCTGGCCTCGGGTGCCTTTGGCGATGTGTTCAAAGGCGTGTCTCCCCGCGATGGCACCTTGTGGGCTGTGAAGCGCGCCAGGATCATCGACATGGACTTCCAGAAGGAGGTTAGTGCGAAGCGCTGATATGGAGAGCCATATGGAAAGCCATGGGTTGACTTTTGAGTCGACTCAAAAGCCAGGCTCATCGACATGGACTTCAAGAAAGAGGTTAGTGCAGCGCTGATATGGACATCCATGGTGACCCATGGTGAGCCATGATGAAGTCATGATGAGTCATGATGAGCTATGGTGAGCCATGGTGAGCCATGATGAAGTCATGATGAGCCATGATGAGCCGTGGTGAGCCATAATTGAATGGCATGTTCTGTGGCCTAACTTACATTCTCCATTTTTCGCCTGGATACTTAAGTCGACTCGAATTGCGTCGTGTTTTATAGTGTGTCTTACGGTTCTACTTATTCACAGTTTGTGTGTTTTATGTTATCAGAAGATAAAAGGGAAAACGTTAACAAAAGCTGTTTTTTTCCCTCCACATTGGCGCCCATGCTTGAATTCTTGTTTGTTATTCCTGTTCACAATCTGCTCCTCATCTCTGCAACTCACCCTTCCTTCTTCTCTGCCTGTGTGGCTCAGATCCAGCTGATGGCTGACAAGAACCATCCCAACATTGTGAGGCTTCTTGGCTTTGCCATCGGAGGCGACTTGAGGTCACGGGCAGAGCAAGTGCTCATCTATGAATATGTGCCAAATGGCGACCTCCGCCAATGGATTGATCCAAGTGAGTTGAATTCTGAGGCACCTCAAAATCTAGCTCAATGCACGCGGATTCTTGAGGTCACGGGCAGAGCAAGTACTCATCTATGAATATGTGCCCAATGGCGACCTCCGCCAATGGATTGATCCAAGTAGGTGTGCCACTCTAGTGTGACCTCTGCTTGTGCCTTGCGGGTTTTGTGATGTGCCTTTCGAATGCTGTGCCACTCATGCTGCGCCACTCATTTTACATCCGCTCATATGCTGCACATCATTGCACAGGCAGTGTGCAATCTGAGTCTGAAGCAGCTTTCCACTCATACACTGTGTGTCACTATGATGAGAAAGACGCATCCTGCGTCCTGGACGAATGCGTCCAGACGCAGGACGCAGAACCTGGACCTAAAAGACGCACCAAAAGACGCAAGCCCGGGCAGGGCAAAAAAACCCCCGGGCAGGCCAAAAAAAGTTGTATAGGGCTTGGGAGAAGGGGGGGGAGGGGGGACCTACCACACTTTCAATGCAAATTTTTCCCTAACCACAAAAATTTCCCCCAAAATTTTAAAATTAAGGTGAGTCACGCGTCAAACATTTCACAAGGTCTCACACACATTAAGTTTAATCCAACCACTTACGACCATGCATACTACATTCGCGTCGACATCGTGAATGTCAATATTGTGATCGGAATTTTTTTTCCCGGGCTGCCCAAAAAAAATTCAGGGTGCGTCCTGCGTCTGGACGCGCGTCCTGCGTCCTAGCGTCCGGACGCTGCGTCCAGACGCAGGACGCAGCGTCCTGGTTGCGTCTTTCTTAACACCCTGTGTCACACTTATGCTGTGTGTACCACGCATCCTTGAGATGGAGCCTGCTGTCTGCCACTCATCCTCTGCCACTCATCCTCTGCCACTCATCCTCTGCCACTTATTCCTTGCAGATGCTGAACACCCTCTGACTCTGAAGCAGCAGTTGGACATTCTGACGGGCATGGCACGGGGAGTGGAGTATCTGCACAGCTTTGGCATCGTGCATCGCGACATCAACCCTGCCAACATCCTTATCACCGACACCATGCAGGCAAGTATGACTGAAGTGACTCTTGAGTCAACTCAAAAGACATCAATCCTGCCAACATCCTCATCAACAACACCATGCAGGCAAGCTTGGTTGCGGTACATCGTTGTGGTGCCAAAATGATTTCCTTGGCGGAGACAAAGCTGTGAAAAAATCGGTCAGCCTATGCATTCGGTGCCTGGATAAGTAGCTGGCGATTACGTGATGAAATTCTGAGTGGCACAGCAAGTAGGTATGAGCAAAAGCCATAATCGAGCGTGTTTGCCTCAAACCCAACGAGTACTTACCTTGGGCGAAATGAACGCATTCGGATTCGGTTTGGCACGAATGCTTGTTTTTTATTGAACCCGTCAAATTCAACGTGCTGTTTTTGACAGAATCCGTCAGGTTCGTTTTTAAAAGCGTTTATGTTCGCGTTTATGTAATATGCATCTGACTGCTGTAGACTACCCAACACCTATTATGGTTGATTGAACTCAATATCTCATTTTTTACTGCAACCATGAATTCAACCTTTTGTCGTGCTTGATTTTTCGTCCCTCATGCTCCAATGACTTTCACTATCCTCACCAGGCAAAGATTGCAGACTTTGGGCTCGTAAGGACGGGCGAGGGCACTTCTGTAGGCACGACGCGCGTGATGGGCACACCGGGCTATGTGGATCCGGCCTACTTCAGCACGTGCAAGGCCACCACTGCCAGCGATGTGTACAGGTGAGGCAGGGATGTGTACAGGTGAGGTGAGGCAGGGATGTGTACAGGTGAGGATGGGACGTGAACAGGTGAGGCAGGGATGTGTACAGGTGAGGCAGGGATGTTTACAGGTGGGGCTGGGATGTGTACAGGTGAAGTTGGGATGTGAACAGGTGAAGCTGGGATGTGTACAGGTGAAGCTGGGATGTGTACAGGTGAAGCTGGGATGTGTACAGGTGAAGCTGGGATGTGTACAGGTGAAGCCGGGATGTGTACAGGTGAAGCCGGGATGTGTACAGGTGAAGCCGGGATGTGTACAGGTGAAGCTGGGATGTGTACAGGTGAAGCTGGGATGTGTACAGGTGAAGCTGGGATGTGTACAGGTGAAGCTGGGATGTGTACAGGTGAAGCTGGGATGTGTACAGGTGAAGCTGGGATGTGTACAGGTGAAGCTGGGATGTGTACAGGTGAAGCTGGGATGTGTACAGGTGAAGCTGGGATGTGTACAGGTGAAGCTGGGATGTGTACAGGTGAAGCTGGGATGTGTACAGGTGAAGCTGGGATGTGTACAGGTGAAGCTGGGATGTGTACAGGTGAAGCTGGGATGTGTACAGGTGAAGCTGGGATGTGTACAGGTGAAGCTGGGATGTGTACAGGTGAAGCTGGGATGTGTACAGGTGAAGCTGGGATGTGTACAGGTGAAGCTGGGATGTGTACAGGTGAAGCTGGGATGTGTACAGGTGAAGCTAGGATGTGTACAGGTGAAGCTGGGATGTGTACAGGTGAAGCTGGGATGTGTACAGGTGAAGCTGGGATGTGTACAGGTGAAGCTGGAGTTCCTTAGACAGCATTGCAGGATTCCCTTTTATGTTATTGCTGGAGTTTCTGCAAGTGCCTCCATCTCTGGCTCTTCCTCACCATCGTGTGCCTTTCATGTGCCTTTCAAAACTTATTTCCAGCTTTGGAGTGCTCATGCTGGTTGTGTTTACGGGGCGCCCACCATTCGTGGAGGCTGAAGAAGCGGGTCAGCTGGTCACAAAATGGGTAAGCACCCTTTCCGTGAGACCAGAATTTCTACGATGGCGTCGTCTTAATAGCACAAGGGAAAACCCCTGTAGCTGCCCAGCTGTTGGTCGAGGTACGTCTTACGCAAGTTTGGTTTTGCTAGTTGGGCTTGCGGATCACTTTGTGGATAAGAACTATTCCACATCTACACAAGAACTTAGTAGCATCTTCCCAATGGCATCTAAGGGGTATTCTGTATTCTGTCCACGCCTTCTTGTTGACCTGGCTCACCTTACTCCGTTTGTGATTTCTCCCGCCCGCACCCGCTCCAATCCCTCAGGCGTCGGACTGCCTCTCCTCGGGGGACGTGGACAGCCTCAAGCACCCCACCATGGACGCCCCTGCAGATGCGGTGCTGCGTGTGGTTGAGCTCGCCCTCTCCTGCACCGTAGAGCGCACTGCAGCCCGCCCAAGCATGGCTCACGTCGCCAACGAGCTACAGGCCATCCGGGAGGAGGTGGTGGGGAAAGAGGAGCTGAGCGCGGCAGTGAAGGTGGATGAGCAGGTCCAGGAGAAGGAGGCTGTTGCCACTGCGTTAAGCCTCGACGAACAGCTTCGGTTTCTTGATGACAACTGAGGATAAGAATGTTTTTGTATTGGCGAGTACCGTACCACCCCAGATGTAAGCAGGTGCGCTTATAACAAAACGTTGAATTCTAGGGGGGTTTGCTTATACAGTAATTGAGTCGTTTGTGGGTACAAATGAAGAGCGAACTACAGCATACCCTAATACAAAGCGTACACATAGATACTAAGCTGTAGACCTACCGTATTAACATGGATATAGTTTTACACCCCGAGCCGTGCGCGATAACCTTTCGAAGGTGGCGCGCGACTTATGGCATGAAATTTTAGTTTTTTTTTTCACATTAGGGGTATTGTCGTTGAAAAACTGACAAAAATTTTGAACATCATTTCAAAATTTTTGTTTCAGATGAACATGAAATATTATTATGATCAAATTGATAAGGAAGATATTTGCATGCGGTATTATCTTTATCCGCGCTTCCTTGTCCACATGCATAATAATTTAATTTATCATATGTTTGGTATTAGTGTTGGGCTGAGAAAAAGCCCTTAGGATCTTTGCAGAGCTGAACTCTGGGTAGGAACAATGTAATAGCGGAAGCGTTTAATGAGACTTGTTGAACCACCTTGCGCTAGTATGTGAGGGCAAAGTAGATTAATTAAAGCAAGAAGATACAAGAATATATAAGATTACAAGGAATATGAAAAGATGTAGCTATAACTGTTTTACTGTTGCTGTTGCAGTTCGATACAGTGACGACTCGGGCAACTGCTCTGTAACGAGTCAGTTGTGTGTCCTTACTGTCGCGCTGTATTTGTCAGGTCAAAGGTCGCTGACCTTTGACTTTCGCGTAACCTCCAGCAGTTGCTCAACCTCCGAGAGTTGACTCATCGGTGCTTCTATATGTTTCGCTTCGCTTGTGACTTGGTGTTTCGACATGACAGAGGCGCTTAAATCGATTGTTTCCAACACTCCCCTTCGCTTCTGGAGTGTCGCTGTTGATGACGTGGTCTTGTCCAGTCAGCATCATGCAGTACTCGAACTTCTGCTTTCCGAGCTTCTTGGTCAAGTAGTCAGCTGCCATCTCGGACGTGGGGCAGTATGACAGCTCGAGTCTCCCCTTCTCGATCTCGTCCTTCACGAAGAAGTATCGCAGGGCGATGTGTTTCGTCCTGTTCGCGAATCCGTTCTTGTTGGCTATGCGAATTGCCGACTGGTTGTCGCAGAACAGAGTGAAGCTGGGTAACTGAGCCAACTTCGCTTCCTCCAGGAGTTCGCGAAGGTACAATCCTTCCTTGGTGGCTGAGCAGAGTGCTATATATTCTGCTTCAGCTAAGGAGAGTGCGATTAACTCCTGCTTGCTCGACTGCCAGGAGATAGGTCCGACAGGCTCGAAGCAGTAGACATAGCCGGTGCGTGAGCGCCTGTTGTCGGAGTCGCCGACGTAGCCGATTAGCGTCGATGTAGCTGATTAGCTTAGGTGTTGACGTTCCGTTCTTATGATAGGTCAGGCCGATCGTCGGAGTGCTGACGAGGTAGTGAAGAGCGCGGTCGAGCTCCGCCATGTGTTCCGCTTCAGGTTTCTTGAGGTAGGTGGCGAGTTGACTCGCCGAGTACGATAAATCCGGGCGACAGGTGACGGCCACGAAGAGAAGGCATCCCAGCTTTCTCTGGTAGTAGAGTATGCCGGCGGACTTTAGTGGAGCGGATCCTTCCTTGTGATTTCCTACCGTATAGCGGTATGGCGTGGAGATGGTAGTCGGCGTGAGAGCGAAGCGTTTGGCGATGGTGTCGGCGTATTTCGCGGCGCTGAGGTAGATCGCGTCTTCTTCTTCCTGAATGTTGAGGCCGAGGTATTGCGTGACGGTGGACGAGACCGTGAGCGTGAGATCCTGCTGCAGCTCCCTTTCGAATTAGGTAGTGACGCCGTCGGTCGAGCCGATGTAGAGTAGATCATCTACGTAGATTATCAGCAGGATGTAGTCGGCGCCCTTTCTGAGCCGGTACATGCCTTGGTCGTGGGGTAACTGGTCACGAGGAGAATTCGCAGCGAGGTGTGTCGGCTGACCGGCGCGAACGTTTCGGTGAAGTCGCGCCCGTGCTCTAGGTCGAAACCGCGTACGACCCAGGCTTTGAACTTGTCAATGGTGTCGTCTGCCTTTGTTTTCACACGGAAGACCCATTTTCCGGTAAGAATGGTCTTGTTTCGTGCGACTCCGATAGGGACGACCTTCCAGGTGTTGCGTTCCTCTTGTGCTTTCAGCTCCCTGTCCATGGCTTCACGCCATTTTTCCCTATGCTCCCCCCCAGAGCCTGCTGAACTGTGGCAGGCTCCTTAGGAATCGCCGTGCCGTGAACCGCGGTGACGAGGCCGAGTATCTGGAGTCCACTCTATGTGTATCGGGGCAGTGTTGTATCCTTGGGATAAACTGCTTCATCTCCCGCTTCCGGTGTAGGATTGAAATTCGGTCCTATGCGTTCTGCTTCGTCGGTGTTGACTTGTGCAGGTGTAACGTAACCGTTGTCGACGAAGTGATAGTAGGCCTCGGCGTTGATGCTGTCGCGTGGATTTTCTTCGTCGTCCATAGGGACATCGGCTGAACAGTAGGGAAGAGTTCCAGCTTCCTCCGAGGCTCCTTCCACGTTCTGCTCGTCCCAGTCAGCTTCATCTTCTGCCGAAGCGAAGGCTCGGGTGCCAAGAAATCCGCCCGAGAGGTCAGGTCTGTTTTCTTCCACGTAGGCAAGGTGCGCGCGGAGGGTGAGGTTCTCGTAGAAGATGACATCACGTGCTGCTACTTTTCCTAGGTGATGTCGAAGATTTTCCATGCGTTGTAGTGTTTTTCGATGCCCAGGTGTAGTCCCCACTGTGCGCGTTGGGAGAATCGGCCGGCTCGTGCAGATGGGGGTCGGTACTGTACCATGCAGCCGAAAAATCTTAACATTTTTGTGCTGCCCAGTTTTCCTGTCCACAGCAGATGCGGTGATGCATTGTTCGGGAGCGATGATGACGAGAGCAAGTTGTGCAGCATCACGGCGTGGTCCATTGCTTCGGGCCACTGGTGGTTGGGTAAGTGCATGCCACGTAGCAGCTTGCGCATGGTGGCCTGGAGGGTCCTGTTCATCCTTTCTGCTACACCTTGCTGTTGATGGGCGTAGGGAAGAGAGATGAGCCTCTTGATTCCTCTCTCTGCCAGGTACTGCTTGAACCTTTGTGACGCATATTCTCCTCCCCCGTCTGACTGGAAGCTTTTCAGTTTTACTCCCGACTCTCGCTCTGCTACTGGAAGCCAGGCGACGAAAGCTTCGAAGGCCATGTTGCGGCTTGGAAGATTTAGGTGCAAGACATATCGTGTGGCAGCATTGATGAAGGTGATGGTATAATTGTACGCGTTTTGTCCAGGCTCGCGGTTGTACAGGATGTCGCTGTACACCTTCTCGAGTGGTGTGTAAGCTGGTGCTCTCGGGTTGTGGTGAGAAACGAACGGCTGATGTGATAAGTCTGCTTCAGGGCAGGTGAAGCATGTTCCTCTGACTCGTTGTAATTCTCTGCCGTCAATAAGAAGTAGGGAGTCCTTGTCGAGTACGCCTGCTCTTATCGTGTTGTTTAACACTGTGTTGCTTGGGTGTCCCATTCTTGCGTGCCAGGTTCCTTCGGTGGCGCGATGTCCGGGTGAGCGTCGGTACATGTCGGAGTTGGAGTAGAAGCCGGCGGTGAAGTTGGGGCCTCGATGGACTTCTCGTTGAGTCGGAGTCAGCTGCTGCGCGAGTGTCGGTGGCGGATCGTCGATGAAGACCGATGGTGTTGAAGGGCCAGCGATTGGTGTTGATGTTGCTACTGCTGCTGTCGTTGTCTCTGCTGCTGCCGATGTTGTCTCTACTGCTGCCGATGTTGTCTCTGCTGCTGCCGATGTTGTCTCTGCTGCTGCCGATGTTGTCTCTGCTGCTGCCGATGTTGTCTCTGCTGCTGCCGATGTTGTCTCTGCTGCTGCCGATGTTGTCTCTGCTGCTGCCGATGTTGACTTTGCTGCTGCCCATTGTTGAATTGTTGCTAACGCCCTTGTTCGCTCTGCCTCAGGTATCGTGTGGGAATGCCAGAAACCACCGGGGCTGAAGTCTGGGTCAAGATCTGGAGGGTGGGTCCAGGAGGTGAAGGTCACAATTCCGTTGCTGTCAGCAGTGCCGAGATCTGGAACGAAGTCAAGGACGAAGACATTGTTCTTCAGGACTGCCTTCCCGATGTAATGTCATCCTCTCCCGTGGTACAGCTTGAATTCTTGCGTGGTGCTGTCTGCTTCGAGGTGTATCCCTTTCGCCATCAGTTGACTGACGCTTAGTAAGTTGTAGCCGAGTCCTTCTTCTATTAGAACTTTTGACATATGCAGTATAACATTCGTCTCTCGTGACTAAAGTTGAACCATACCTTGTCGTCGTGTGCGCAGGTTCTGGTTGTTGGCGACGGTGATGACGACTTCGCGTTGAAGTTGGTATTCCCGTTGAACGAAGCGGCCCGAGGAGCACATATGCTGCCTGCAGCAACTATCCAAGAACCTAGTGTCCTTTCCGGACGGCTCGCTTTGGGCGATAGCTGCATACGTCGGGTTCGGTTGAAGTGACTCGCGGCGAGGTGTACTGTTGTCAAGTTGTTCTTCCGGTGAGTAATGCGGTGGTGACTCGGTGATGCAGGAGTCGGTCAATCTTGCCATACAGCTAACGATTTTTCTTGCTCCTTGTCCAGGGTGTACCGTCGATGTTGTTGAGGACTGCGGTTGACTCGTGGGGTTCGCCTGCGTGGATGCTACTTGACTGCTTGATGGACGAAGTTGACGTTGCGGTGGTGTTAACTGCTCTCCATTCGGGCAGTGTGTACGTGGGTGCCCTGACGTCTTGCAGAGGTGACAAAACGGAGGTACGGGTTGCTGTCATTGGTTCTTGTTCTGTCGGTGGTGGTTGTTGTAGCGTCGTTGAGTGTGGAAAGCGAACTCAGGTACTAACGTTTTCCTCTTGTGCCTTTCTTCTTGCAGGTCCATGTCTTGCTGCTCGGCGTGAATTTCGGCGCAAAGTGCAGCTTCGGATATTTTTCCGTGGGCTCGGAGTATGGCGCGAGTGGACCGCCAATGAGGACCAAGACCGCCAATGACGACTGTGACGAAGGCGTCTTCCGATATCGACCCTCCGCATCGAAGGAGTTTGTCGCGCAACTCGCGACAGCGACTGATATACGCCATCCCTTTTTCGCCTGGTTTCATTTCGACTGTTGTCAGTTGCGCCATTAAACGACTTTGATTGACGCTGTCTGTTGCTTGATACAGGTTCTTCAGATGGTTGTACGCGAGCTCGGTGGAGTTCCCGTATCCCCGGTAAGACCGAATGTTCTGCTGTTGATTCGGAGTGACGTTCCTTAACAGGATTGTATAAGCCATCATTGAGTGATACGTGTACTGCCGTTTGTCGTACTGTGTGCCGTGTGTTGGATATGGCAGGGACCCGTCGAAGAAGCCAAGAATCTGCGCGCCTTCCATCATCAGCTCGAATTCAAATGACCAGGTGAAGAAATCATTTCCGTCGAAAGGCCTTGACGTCTGCAGTTTTAGGACGTGTGCGAACTGCGACTAAACTTGAAGCACGTCCAGTGTTTTCTCTTGTCCAGGTGAAGGCTGCGGGTGTGGCGTGAAGCTGATGGAGCCGCGCTGGGGCTCGTACGGAGCAAAGGTAGGCTGCTGTTGTTGATTTCCGCGCGCGTATGATGAGCCATCGAGACTCATGGGAGTCACATCGTTGTTGTTGTTGCTGTTGTTTGACTGCGCAGGTGCCGATTGCTGGTGTTGCTCGTAGAAGGACATGAAGGAGAAGAACTTCTCCATCATGTTATGGTCGAAGCCTGCAGGTTGATTCGCTGGAGTTTCCGAAGGTGCTGCTGTTGTGTGACTGCGCAGATCCCGATTGCTGGTGTTGCTCGTAGAAGGACATGAAGGAGAAGAACTTCTCCATCATGCTCTGGTCGAAGCTGGCAGGTTGACTTGCGGGAGTCTCGGTAGACGTTGCCCTATGTCTAACTGCCGTGCCCTCCTCTGTCTGTAGGCCAGAGGCAGGAGGTGGAGTAGGAGTAGTGCCCTGGGAGCCGTTAGAGGAGCTCCTTTCCTTTTGTGTTGCCATGTCTTGTGATGACTTGATAGTAGTTGAGTTCCCCTTGTGAGCTCTCATACCATGTTGGGCTGAGAAAAAGCCCTTAGGATCTTTGCAAGGGTGAACTCTGGGTAGGAACAGTTGTAATAGCGGAAGTGTTCTAATGAAGAGGTTGAACCACCTTGCGCTAGTATGTGAGGGCAAAGTAGATTGATTAAGACAAGGAGATACAAGATTATATAAGAGTACAAGGAATATGAAGAGATAACTGTTTTACTGTTTGCTGTTGCGGTTCGATACAGTGACGACTCGGGCAACTTCTAAGTCGTGTGAGAGTACGACGGCTTATGCTTGTTATTCATGCTTGCTATTATTTCCTTACGCTATTTCTAGCTTAGGTTTATTTTCTGCATGCATGAATTGCTTGATTCCTAGGTTCGTTGCTTTACTATAGTTATTATAGTTATAGGCACCGAACCAGGTTACGTGTACCAAACTCAAGCTATTCGGTTGCCACCGAATTGCTTTCTACCAAGTTCGGGAAGGTTCTGTTCGGGACGCTTCGCGACCCTCGGAACATTCGCGTAACACCTGGGTTACCTGCCTTGTGTCGAGCCTATATATAGCCTCGTGTTGTACCCAGGTGATCATTCAATTTACATTCTCATTTCTGAACTCGATCCTCGATCCTCACACTTGGTAATCAGAGCTCGTTTACACGCGAAGTTCTTTCGACCGCTAAAAACCAGTCTTAAAAAAACCGCGGGGGCGACGCAGTTAAACATCGATTTCGGGTACGTAAAACCGGTTCCGTGTTTTTCCGCTCCTCCTCGATTCGGTTTTTTCGGACGCGTAATGTCAGGCATGGAAGGCCAGGGCGACAACTACGCGACAACGAGCGACATCGCAAGCCTCCGCACCGACATGGAGCAGACGCAGGCGACGCTTCGTCGACTCGAGGCTTTTCTGACAAGCCATCCGGCGCTCGCCACGACAGCAGCAGCGACGGCAATGCAGCACCGACAACTCCAGCAGCAGTGGCGACACCGACATTTCACGGTCCGATGGCACCACTGACGCCGAACCTCGAAGCAGCACGACCGAGGCTCCCGGAAGCGTTCGATCCAAGCGCGAAGGGATCCGACGTCCGGCGTTTCGTGGCAACCCTCGAAATTTACTTCGAGGCCATTGGCTGTTCGACCCCGACACACGACGCAACACGAATCCGGCTCGCAGCGACACTGTTACGCGGACCAGCACTCGAGTGGATCTACAACACTGACGTGGCCCGCGGGGAGAAAACGTGGACGCAGTTTCGGGCAGAATTAATCGGGCGTTTCGAACCAATTAATACCACCTACATGGCGCGGCAACAAATTCATCGGCACAAGCAGTACAGTAGTGTAGCGCAGTACACGCAGCAGATGGAGCTCCTGTTCACCCGCATCCCCGACCTGACCGAAGGCGAAAAAATCCAGGCGTACACAGAAGGGTTAAAATTGGAGATTCGGCGGCAGGTGATCGCGGCGAATTACGACAGCTACAGGGACATCGTGCGTGCAGCCGAGCGTTACGACGCGCTGACCCGAGGTCAACCCGAAACACGACGTTTCGCGCCGAACCGTACATTCGGCACGGAGCGATCGGCACCCCCCACGTTCGCCGAACCGATGGATATCGACAAATTCGACGCGAAGCAGCAGCCGACCAAATGCGAATTTTGCGGCGCAGCAGGGCATCAGATTTTGTCGTGCTACAAAATGAAGAAAGTACGTGCGATCATGCAGGGCGGTAACAGTGCAGCACCCCCGAAGTAAAAAAACGGGAATCGCCAGTAGCCGCGGATCGAACTGGCGATCGCGTAAAGATCCAAAAAGCAAAAAAGGGCGACGACGTGGCGACTTCGGAGCGGGCGAAAAAAGGAGAAAATGATGGCGCGAATATAAAACGTCACGACCGGCCGGCATCAGGGGAAATCGCCGAGGCAACTGGTGGCTCCGCGAAAAAAGACTCTGCACCGACCGGGAAACTCCAGCCGGACCCCCACGAAAGTAAGAATTCGTTAAAAGTATCCTATAAAGATACTCTAACGAAAAATATTGCTTCTCGTAGTGTTCAAGCCTTTGAAAAATTCAGGGGAGAGTTAGAGGCCAAGAAAAAGCCTTTAGAAATTATTCAGGTACCTGCAAATATGGGCAAAGTATTACGGAGCGTAGAAAAGGGTCGTGCGTTCCGTGGTGTTAATATTCTCTCCCCGCAGCATAGTGTTAAGGCTCCCCGCCGTTCCCCACAGGTGAAGCCTACACAGCTGCAAAGGCTTAGAGGAGACATCCAGGCTCAGGAGAAATTATACAAGCCTCGGAAAAATCCTCCTACCCCCCAGGTGAAGTTGGAAAGTGCTGAGTCGGGTATAGGAAGTAGGGAGGGTATTCATTTTGATGTACCATATGATCCTATTAACAAGACCCTCTTTGGCTACTCAGCGCAGCAGAAACCACTACTCCTCGAGGTGTTATGCAATGGGCGACGCCTCCAGGCACTGGTGGACAGCGGTGCATCTCACTCAGTATGTGACCGCGGAGCATTGGAGAAAATCGGAGAGAAGGCGGAGGAGACCCAGTTTTCAGCAACCATGGTGGACGGTACGAAGCTTCCCATCCACGGCGAAGCAACCTTGCAGCTGCATATAGGTGCGTTGAGATGGAAGCCGAAGCTACCTGTTACCAACATCAAAGGGTTAGATTTCATCTTGGGGCGAGATTTCCTGAAGCGGTTCAACCCCGAGATCGACTGGGTCAACAGCAAAGTGTGCATCTACAACAACGGGAAGCGGATAGCACTGCGAAGCTGGACGGATACAGGGGACATACCGGAAACGACACTGGCACGGTTCGAACAGACGGTGAACGAGAGTAACACGGGTTACTTAGCACTGGTCATGGCAGCAGCAGAAGAGGTGAAAAAGGGTTCCGAGCTACCCGCAGCAGTGAAAAAGGTCTTGGAGCAGTACAAAGACATCATGCCCGATGACCTACCTGCAGGCATACCTTCTGCGCGCACCCACGAGCATGAGATCGTGGAGGAACCAAGTGCGAAACCCGTCTCACGTGCACCTTACAGACTGAGTCCGACCGAACTGATAGATATGAAGAAACAGATCGAGTATCTACTGGACAGACAACTGATCCGACCATCCACCTCTCCCTACGGCGCACCAGTTCTCTTCACACCGAAACCAGACGGCAGTTTACGGATGTGCATCGACTACCGCGCACTGAACAAACAGACAGTAAAAAACAAATACCCCATACCGCGCATCGACGACTTACTGGACCAACTGCGTGGTGCAACAGTCTTCTCGAAGCTGGACTTACGGTCGGGTTACTGGCAGATCAAG